TTGGCCCAAATCCCAAAGCTTGGCAGCACACTCTGCTGGAAAGACCACAGGGAAAGGGAGACTTGTATCCAGGGGGATGCAAATACAAAATAGTGCAGCTTCCATGAGAGATTGGGCAGCATCCAGCCAAACCACACATGCATTTAACCTTTGACCCAAAAATCCCAGTGCTAGGAATCTTTCCATGGAACCCTTACAAAAAATCCAAACAACAGAAAATAACCTAACCATCTTTCATAGGGAGTTGTTTGCGGAAGCTTAGAAACCTTGATTCTGGGCTAGGCCGGTGGTGCACTGGAGAGTGCGCAACTTGGGAGTGTGGCGGCACTCCTGCCACCGAGGGTTGCGATCCTGTCACCGGTCAGTAAAAAAAGACAAAAAGGAAAAAAAAAAAAAAAGAAACCTTGATTCTCATTTGAGTTTTTAGGTAATGCAAGTATGGAGTAAAAACCCTCCATTAACAGAACAAAATCTACAGCCAGCAGGCCAAGACTATCTAATCAATTCTAATCCAATATAGGCTGATTCTTAGCTGATTTTTAGATAGGGTTTTTAGGTAATGCATGCATGAGAGAAAAGTCTCTGGCCAGGGGACAAAAGTCCACAGATAGCATGGCAAAGCCCATCTAATCAATTCTAATCATTGTTTAGGGATGGGATTATGTACTTTTACTATTTAACATACTGACTGTTGCTAAAAGATGTTGAAAGAATTGCTGCAGGGAAAAATGTGAAAAAAAAATGTTTGCTAAGGACAAGCTGTTTGTTGGTGGAAACTTTAGAGACAATTATCATAAGAATGTAACTTCTGCTTAAATCATTTGGGGAGAGGTTATATTTGGGGTTAGATAATGATCACAGACTGATCAATTTAGCTTTTCACAAATCGTACTTTGGAATTTCCCCTTGTTAATTTAAATGATGTTACTAGTTTCCATTGTTTAAGCTGTACTTAGCTACAGATAACTTTTGTCACATTGTCCATATCTTTGTGTCCTTTTGAAATGATTGAATTAACTGATTTTTCTTGTGAAACTTCATTGTTTTTATAATAAAAACAGAAGCTAACTTTGAATCGGGGCTGTACCCAGTTTTTTCCTTCTATCAGAGGAGTTGCTGAGGTGCAGTCCCTTCAGGCTTCTCATCACATTCATGTTGCTTTGAGTAATCTCTGTTACACAGTGAGAAGTGTAACAAGGTAATAGTTGNCATTCATGTTGCTTTGAGTAATCTCTGTTACACAGTGAGAAGTGTAACAAGGTAATAGTTGTTGAGTAGACTAGGGTTCATCTCAAAGTGGAGAGCTATGGGAGTAGTTTCCAGGATATATTATTATGCCCAAAAAATGCTACACAGAGGTAAGTTTTATATATACCACCTTTTATCTAAGAAAAGAGAAACTGAATATATACTTGTATGTATAGGTGTGTGTGTATATACTGTTTTGTTTATATTACGAAAAGTATAAAACATAAAAAATAAGCAAATCCTTAGCTAAATTCAGAGAGAGAAACATAGTGAAGAAAACAGGAGCAAAACTAGAGTCCTCTGTACACACTTCATTTCATTAATTTGACTTTGAAACACTTCATAACAACTTAATGTAAACTTTGAGATTCTCTAAAAATCCAGACTAAAATTAAACAGTGAAATTAACCAGATGTGGGGTTGGTACATAACCACACAGCAAGAAATTATTTCAAGTGATTTTAAAGCAGTAACTTTGCTTTAATTCAGCAATGAAATATATACCCTGAGAACTAAAAGAAGAAAAAATCATCTTAAAGGCTTGGTTCTCAATAGTCAAGAGCAACTACAGTTGCATGGAACTGTTATTCTAAAATTATGGTGAACTGTGAAAAAAGGCCAAGGAAGAATTAGTTGGCTTCAGAGGCTCAAGATTCCATGCATAGGAAGAAAAAGGAGACACATAAGATGAAAGAGTTTAAGACCCCCAGAGCTTGTTATAGAATGGACTTGACAGAGAAGTGACCGGCACTCAGAGGATTGGAGAGTCAGGTATTTTATTACACGGGTGGGCCTAGATAAGCAAGCACTCCAAGATCTGAGCCCCGAGTTTAGGTCTTATGGGTTTATATAGGTGGACTCTTCTGGGTTCTTTTAAGTTTCGTTTTCTCAGCATTCATGTAGCCAGTACAGTAGTCATTGCGATAAGCAAGCACATTTATGAAAGCGAGAGTGCGAGCAGTTGATTATCAGTAAAGCTGATACAATAAGCAGGTTCTGTTCTAAAGGCAAAACAAGCTACTGAAAGAATTAACTTTGAATTTTCCCAACAAGCTGAAAGTAAAATGAGGAGTTTACAAAGTATTTTATTTTTTTAAATGTTTTTCTTAGCACTATCCACTAAAAAGACCTAACTATGAGCACATTTAGTGCTGAAAGCAGCCAGAAATGGGTGATTCCCAAGTCTA